TGAAGGTTGGTCCCACCTGGTTTGGGGCAGGGCTTTCCCCTCTTACATTGTGCCCTTGTGGTGTCAGGATTGGGCTCTTCCTGCTGTTCCTGCGTGTGTTGGATCCCTGGAAGGACCAGATGGTTGGAGCCATGTCCCTGTGTTTTGTAGGGAAAAGATGGAAGTTTCAGATGAAGGGTTTGGGTTTGTTCCTTGTGTTTCTTTCCTCTTCCTTGTCCCGTGGTTGGTTGGGAATAGAGCCACAATCGCCAGCTTTGTTGGAGGTATTTGGGACCTCCTGGATGCTCCGGCTCCAGGGCTCTTGGACATTCTGAGGGGATCTGGGCAGGAGAAGAGCCTGAGTTAACCTCATGGTTGTCCTCAATCCTCATGTTGCCCCAGACTTTGGTTGTGTTTTGGGGCTCTCTGGCTGCAGCTCCTTTCTTTGATTGGAGAGGCATTTGTGTCCTCAAATGCCTGGAATTAAATATTGGGAAGTGCTTAGCAAATGCTTTGGAAAGTGTCACACTGTGGGAGGTGGGGTCTCAATGGGATTTGCTGCAGTTCCAGAGGTGATGTCTTTGCTGTGTCCCCACTGATATCACAGCTGGTGGTACAGTCACTGGCTGTACCAGACCCCTCACTCAGTGCTCAGGTTACTGACGAGCCTGAGAGGTGCAGCTCATCCAAACCCCATCAGAACTGCCTTTATTGTTCCCATGCTCTGTAAGAGGTTTGGAAAACCACAGCTTGGGATTGCAATGGACACCTCAGTGTCCTGAGTCATCCTTCCCTGGGCTTTGGTGGGTCCATGTTTCACATAGTCTCTGGACCACCTCCACAACTGCAGTCTTTGTGTCCAAGGAGCTGCTGTCATTCCAGTGGTTCCTCTCAATTCCTCACGTTGAGGAGAGCAGGAACATGAGAAATACTGAGTGAGGAGATGAGTCACTGATCAAACCCTTGGTGGGGTTTTGGGGCTTCAGTCCCAGATCCGGAGCTCAAAGGCCAAACCCTTTTTTCTGGGGACGTGAGTGACTCAGCAGCAGCAAGAAGTAGACAGAGGATGTGTCACACACAGGGAAACCCAGCAGGGGCTGGGGATATCAACCTTTTAAAAGCCTTTTTAATATAAATTTGGAAATCTGAATAATTAAGCCCTTGGCATCTCTCTTCCCCATCAGGTTGGAACAGATTCCTTGGTATATTGCCCAAATAGTGCAGGAGTAACACCTTTGAAATGCAGAGCAATCAACTGACATACTCTTGGAACACCAAAAATCTCTGGGATTTAGTGATGGGTTGTGGGAGCCCAGTTCCACAGGGTCCCTGAAAGGACATGGCAGAGAGGAAGAGCAAAGGAAAAGCTGTTACCACTTTACAGAGGCTTTTAACTGCCCTTGGATGGGACACTCCACCTTGGCTTTCAGCTCGGCTTTGCTCACAGAGGCACAGTCTATGTGTCCTGGAGCACTTAAAGGGTTTGGGGAATGAAAAAGAAAAATGTTTAATGCCAGCAGATAATGAGGTGACCAAGTCCCAGGGCTGGTCTCTTCAAGGACACACATTTCCCTGTGCTGTTAAAGCTTTTTACTCCCTTATCCTCTCAGGATGACAATGAATGTCACTGGATACAGAGAGGAGAAGGAAAGTTGGGGCCAGTTGGGGTTTCCAAATACCCCAAATAAACACACTCAGCTAAAGATGATCTACTTAAGGTGGAATTCTACTCTTTTTAATAAAAATCTCCCCAAAAGTTGGCCTTTCGGTTGCTCTAGAGTCTCCGGAGAGGGGGAGGCCTCACCTACCTACTGACAACACTGGCTGCTGTTCTCCCTAAAAGCCTGGAATAAACGTTGTATTTGGTTGAAAGAGCTGTGAGCCCAACAAACTCCTCCTCTGCACAGGTGGGGGGGGTTTGCTCCTCATACCTGCAAGGGGAGGAAGAAACATCACTTTGCTCCTCATTATTCAGCTTAAACACATGGTGGGATCCTTGGGATTGTCCTGAGCAGGGACAGGAGTTGGACTTGATGATCCTTCGGGTCCCTTCCAGCTGAGGATATTCCGTGATTAAACAGGAACATTAATCTAATCCTCTTCTTCCACCTCCAAATGCCCAACCCGAGCAGCTGCTGATGGAAGTCACCCACAAGCACCTGGAGCAGATCCTGATCCTTGTGCAGCCTTTGCCATCCCAAAGATCCATGGAGTGTCACCTCTCATCACTTGCAGGAGTGTCTTCCAGGGGGAATTGCTGCCAGGAAAACCAGACCTGGGCATTCCTTTCTGCTGGAATTGTTGGGCAAATCCCTGTGAATTTGGACTGTACATGTATTTATTTTTCAGTGAAAGATGTGGGTTCAGAGTGACAAAACTGTAGGGAAGGTGGGTAAATCTTTCCTAGAGACATGAAATAGGTGATTTTCAGTCCCATCCTTGCTGGAATATCAACAGGGCTCTGTGCCATGGGTGGGAACACTTAATTCCTTTGGCTGCAATGGGATAAGGCTTAGGCCTGGAAATCCCTCTTCCAGAAGTGCTTTTATGTGATTTTCTTGGCATTCCCATGGCCTGGGAACATGTTCTGCTCCATGGAGAAGTTCCTGCATGTAACCCCGAAAGCCACTCAGTGTTTCAGGGTAAAGCTGTGTGGGAGCTCTGGAGCTGAGCACTTTCTTTGGGATCCAGCCCAAAAGGAGCTCAGAGAGTTTAGCATTTTCCTGGCTGGTCCCTGGGTGAGTTGGCATCTCCTGGGAAGTGGAAGGACTGAAGTTGGCTCGTTGTCTCCAGGTGTTTAATTGCACAGCTGGGCTGATCTGGCCTGGCTGATCCGGCCCAAACCTTGGCTTGGAAGCTTCTCCCTGCTGTAGAATCACATCCTTGGTAACTCCTGGCCTGGTGGCTCTGCCAGCTGCTCCAGGCAGGGGATTGAGAAAAAGCCTGACTGCTTTCCCTCATCTGGAAAGCTTAGTTCTGATCCTTGGGATCCATCTTCCTTGCCTGTAAAAACTTCTTGGAGCATTCCTGCTCTTCTGGCATTTCCAGGGACTGCCCAAAGTGCTCTCAGTCCATGAAGGGGGAGAGATGCTCCTGGGGAACAACTTTTGACCCCAAATTGACTTTCTGCTCTTTGGCTGGTTGACATGGTGGTGTTTATGGCCAGGTGAAACCAGCCCCACCTTCTGGTCTCTGCTGGCTGTTAATCGTGGACACCTCCCAGGTGCTGCTTTGGGATCTCTCCCAATGCTCCAGTGCTCCCTCTCTCCTCAGAACAGAGACAGGGAGGAGTGGGAGATGGGAAGGTTCTGAGCAGCAGCTGGTGCCGAGGCCAAATCTTCTAAAATTACTCTAAAATGACTCTTGCAGGGGGATTTTGTGGTGGCACAGAAACCCTGCACTGCTCATTGTTTGATTGAAGTTTATCGAAGAAATTTCATAAAATTAATATAAAAAGTTCAGCAGGAGCAGAAAATGGGGGGAACGAGCTGGTTACATTTTGGCACAGAATCTCCCAACTCTTTTCTTTGCCTATCTCCCCTCCCCAGGAAAAAAAAAAAAAAAAAAAAAGGGAGGGGGAGGAAAGGAAAAAAAAAAAAAAAAAAAAAGGAGGGGGAGGGAAAGAAAAAAAAAAAAAAAAAAAAAGAGAGAGAGAGAGAAAGGAAAAAAAAGAAAAAAAAAGAAAAAAAGCTGCACCTAAAGGTGTTAAACCAGAGATGTTTTTCCAAGTTATGTAAAATTTATTGTTTGTGTTCAACAATTGTTGTTCCTTCTTTCCCCCCCCCAGCTTCTAACACTCTTTTTTGCCCTGTTTTTAACCTGTCTCCAGCTTCTGAGAAAGGGAATGATTTTCTGCTGCGACACCTGTGCATTATTTGGGCTTTGGACTTAAAATGATCCCTTCTGGGTGGGTGAGGAATTAACTGGACATTAGAGAGAGCCCTTTCAACTATGGAAAATTAAAGCTGAATTTTGGGATGTAGGTAGAGCAGGAGAGTCCTGGAGTGAGCCAGCAATGCCAGAGGAATTGGGGAATGGAGAAACTGCCTGTGGGAAGACGTTTTGTTTTCAATTTCTTAAGAATTTGGGGAGTGTGGGAGGAGTAGGTGGGAGGGAGCACCATGGGCTCAGTTCTCTTGGATTCCTGGGCAGGTGAAAGAACAGGCTCTGCTTCCAGAGGTAAACACAATTCTTGCCCCTCCTCTGGATTGGCACCGGGACACTGGGAAGGTGCTCGCTGAGCTCCAACATTAATGAGACTCGTTAATGAGACAGCTGATTGTTCACTGACAAGCTGCACTGCCAGCTGGGGGAGGGATATGCAGGAGAGTGGTTTGGATGGGGAGAGGGAGTGCTCCCAAGCCGAGAAATGGCGCTGGGAAGGTTTTCCCTCCATGGTGAAGTGACAAGCAGGGATTCCGAGATGATTCCAAGGCTTTGTGCTGGCAGGGGAAGGTGCTGCTTGCCTTTCCGTGCTCCAGGTGAGCGGCTCAGCTCCTGTGGCTTTCCTGGGTGGTGCTTTTAGACACAAACCTCACACTGGAGCTGCTTCCTGCTCCGCAGCCGAATCCCCCCATTCCAAGCCTGCTGTTGAAACCTGCTCCCAGCCCCAGTATGTTCCCACCTCTGTAGCTGCTCCCAGATAAGACCACGACTGCCATGGGAAAGCAGGAGCACAGGGTTTGTTTGGAAGAGTACAAAGGAATTTCAAGCTTTAGTTTCACACATTCCAGTTATTTCTTGGACTGTCTATCACTGACTGGATTTCACACATCTTATTCTCTGGCTTTTCTTCCGGCCTGAGGCATCTGAGTCTCCCAAGGGACAATCTCAATGTACAAATCCCTTCAAGTTCAAATTTGGAAAATGTCTCAGGCTCTTCGGCCTCCCTAGTCCCACCTAAAGGGCTGGAAAAATTATATTAATTTTTGTGCAGATAATTACAAGCTGCATCTTCCTTGTCTTATCCTCAATTCCAGGTACAATCAAGGAATCATTTAATACATTGTTTGTGAGGTGGATTACTTACAAATATTCATGGCACCAACACCTCCAGACAGCCTGGAAGAAAGAGAGGATGGAGAAGTCAGGGTTCCTAATAAGGATAATCTCAAGCAATATTTTCCCACCAAGGACCTTGGAAAACAGACCCAGTGGGGGCTGGGTGTGATGGGGAGTATCCAAGAGGATTTGGAATGGCACCTGTTACTGTGTAGGATGGGAGTGAATTCCCTCTGCAAAACTTTGTGACACTTGCACCTCCTTGCAAGGCAAAGGTGAGAACGTTTCTGGATTTGGACGTGATTTGGTTTGCAGGGGGGAGTTCCCACCTGCTCTCCTCACCCTCCAGCAGCTTCCTGTAAGTCGCGATCTCGATGTCCAGGGCCAGCTTGATGTTCATGAGCACCTGGTATTCCCGGAGCTGCCGGGCCAGGTCAGCCTTGGCTTTGTGCAGACCGGTCTCCAGTTTCTCCAGCCTGGCCCTGATGTCCTTGAGGGTGATGTCCCCATGCTGCTCCATGTCAGTGATGGCCGTCTGCAGCTTGGCCACCTGCAGGAACAATTCCAGTGGTCATGTGGTGGGTGTGGATCTCAATTTCCAGGTCCCTTCCAGCCAGGGGTGGAGATGAGTGCCCCACGTTTGGGGAGGTCCTGTGTCTGCAACTTCACGCTGTCCATGTCTGAGTGGAGCTGCTGGACCAGGTGGTTCATCTCTGAGATCCCCACCCTGGTGTTCTGGAGTCATCCCTGTGCCAGCCAGCCAAGAGCTGCAGCTCCTCCTGTACTGGGTGGGCTGGGAGGTGATGTGGGGGACAGGCAGAGACTGACCCTGCTCTGATCCTCTCTTCACCAGGACTTCCCACACTCATCCCCTTGAGCTTCCTCCTTTTGTGTCCTTCTGCTCCTCCAGCTCTCATTATCAAGGCAGCATTTTCCCATAGAGTTGTGAAGAATCATGGAAGGTTGGAAAACACCTTTAAGATCATCAAGTCCAACTGCCAAACATCTCCAAGGAACTACTTGAACTCCTCTCCAAATCCACTTCATTTTACACCTTTTCCCCCTGTCCTCACTGCTTGTTCTCTCCAGTATAAATTAGCCTTTTGGAAATGTTAAACAAAAATCTCCCTGTTTGTTTCCACCCCCTCACCTTGCACTGGTACCAGGACTTGGCCTCGGCACGGCTCCAGTTGGTGATGTCCTCATAGTGTGCCTTGACCTCGGCGATGATGCTGTCCAGGTTTTGGCTGTTGTCCATGGACAGCACCAACGAGGTGTCAGAGATCTGGGTCTGCATCTGGCACAGCTGCTGTAAGTCAAACTCATTTTCTGTTCCAAATGTTTCGTTGTTATTTTGTAGAAGAGTGCTGGGGAGGAGCTGCAGCGCTGATGTGAGAGATGCTACTCGTTTCCAAAAATTTAGAAAGGTTTATTAAACTTTATCAAAAATGCAACAGAAGACTGAATAGAGAAAATATTATGGCGTCAGGAGCAGCAGAAGATTTTTCCCACCATGTGCTCATCCACAAAATGGAGGTTTCACCTTTTAACCCTTTAGTCCCTCCCAAAGTTCTGTCCATCGACTCCTTCTTTGCTGTCCAGTGGGGGAGTTAATTTCCTTACATCTTGATTGGAGATCAGCTGTTGCCATAGTAATGAGCCGACCCTCCCAAATGTCCCAAGCCCAGGCTGCCTCCGGATAACAAGACAAGGGGTAAAACATATCTATAAATCTATAAAACTTCTCTTAACATATATACATGATATTTGCCTTTTAATTGTGAGAGTCAACAATTGCATTACTCACCTATCACACTGACCAGCTCTTGGGCTCTTTGAGCCTCTAGAGACTGGGAAGATGGGGGAACAGCAGACTGGGAAATTTGGGATACTCTTACTGCTTTGTAGAGGGCTTGCAGGAAGTTTATCTCATCTGCCAGTTTATCTCATCTCGCCTTGGTCCCCTGATGATGCCTTGTTCACACATCCAGGCATCCACCTGGAATGGTGACAACGGAGCTTGGACCAGACCTTCTCTGGGTCATTGGGTGAAGTCTTTGTATCTAACACAAACCTTTGGAGTTTCAGATGAAATTGAGAACTGAAATTTTATTAAACCAGAAATGGAGAATTTCTTAATGGAGGATTTCTCTGCACCTTTAAGCAGAGCCAAGAGTAAAGCGATTTCTCACCTCCACCTTTTTTTTTTTGGGAGGGGAGGAGGGAAGATGTCCATGAATCCAAATGATGTCACACCACTGAATTTCTCTTTTTCTGCCAGGCAGATATTTTGTACAATACTTGAAACAGCAGAAGCTTCTTATTGCGTCTCCTGCAGGGGAGACCAGGGGGCTGTGGATGCTGGGATTGGACACAGAAAAGCTGAGGACTAGCAGAGCATCTGGTGGAGGCACAAGGTCTGCATGACCCAGAGCTGATCTGGGGGACGAAATCAGTGGGATCTGTGGGACACCCCTGAGTTTGGGATGAGGGACCTGAAACAAGGAGGAATTACAGCCCAGCACTGCTCCACTGGCACAACCAGGTGTTTCTGCTTCTGGGGATGACTCCACCTGTGCCCCATGCTCTGGGCCTGGCATTGCTGGATACAAAGGGTGATTTGAATGTGGTTTTTCCAAAGCTGTCCCTGCTTTGGTGGTGGTGGTGCCTCCTCACCTTGAACACGACAAAGTTGTTCTCTGCTGTTGTGCACTTGTTGATCTCCTCCTGGTACCTCTGGGGAGGGAGAGCTCAGAATCCCTTCAGAGCCTCCACCCCATGCAAACCCGCTCTCCACACCAGGAGAGACCAAAGGGTCTCTTCCTGCAGGCGTTTACCAACAATCCACAGATTTTTGGAGGGAGCAGTGCTGGAACAGAGTCCTTGATGGAGCTTTATTGTTTTTACTTCTGTGTCACTGATTATGATGGAAAAGGCAGCACCCTAGGCTGGAGGGTGGGAGGGGCCGTCTAGAAAAGCTGAAGGCTCTCATCAAAGGCACCTTTTATCCCCTGAATGGGAGCCTTGTGGTCCCGAAATGTTCTGGGTGGAGCCGGGGGTGAGCTCATCGGCACGCCTGGTTAGTCAGGAGAGCCGGGATCTGCGGGATGGCCGGGGAGGAGGGCGGGGGGTGGCCGGGGCAGGGAGAGTTAAGGCCACGCTCTTGGGAAAGGTCAAAACCCAGCGGGAGCCTGGACCCATGCCCAGCTCCCATGGAATGTTAAAATCGGGGAGATGAAAGAAAGAAAGAGAGGAGTTCAAAGGAAGGAGTCCATGCAGGTAATAAACCACTGGTCTCTCCTGGCCCTTTCATGGGGGAAGATTTATTCCCATCAGGAATATCCATCCCTGAAAATAATTTCCATTAAGCAGAGCCCCAGCTTTGCATCCATTTGTGGGTATTGAAGCTCTTGGCAACATAGAAGAGAAAATTTAATGTCTGTTTTCCAGCTTTGGATTAATGTTTGGCCCAGAGGAATCAGAGGTCTGGGTTGGAAGGGACCTTAAAGATCATGTCATTCCAATTCCCATATTAGGAAGAAAATTTGGGATTCAAAAGTTTAAAATAGTTAAAGGTGGGAAGAACAAATTCCTAGGAAGCAGGGCGGGAGCCTGATGTTGTGATGTAGGTGCAAGAGGATGGTCCATGCCCAGCAATGTGTGTGGTGCCATTGAGCTTCACCCCAGAATCCACTGATGCCAAAGGAATATTTGCCACTTTGTCAGACACAAGCAGAGCTCTAAAGTCTAAAGTGCTTCTCTGATGTGACCATTGACTGTCCAAGGATTTCATGTGCGTGCTGATTTCTTTCCCCAGGGCAGTCAAGGATGTTTCAATGCTGGAAGGAACTTTTCCTTTTGGGAAAGGCGGCACAGAGTGGCAGGCACGTGATCTCCTGGGAAAGCAGAGCAGAGAATTCAGGCAGGATGCATATGCCCTTGTTGGGAATTGGGATGAGCACCTCACTCCCACGTCTCATTTTTTTGGTTCCACACTGACAATTTAAGCTCCTCATTTATTCACATCCATTCCCAGGAGATCCCTCGTGGCCATGGGAGCAGGCACAAATACTGGATGGATGTTTTCCTGAAGTGCAAAGAGTGGAGGAGAGAGGGTACTCCTGCTCCCAACAGCCCAAAGAGCTGCTGAGCTGAAACTCGGGCCCAGGATCCTGGTGACTTTCCATGGGGTGGGAGGTAACTCCTCACTTTCTAAAGTGCTCAAACTATCCAATACATTGAACTAATTCTGATTTAGTTTTAAAATAAAAGAGGAGAGATTTAGATGGGATATTGGGAAGAAATTCCTCTCTTTGAGGGTGGGGAGGCCCTGGAATGGAATTCCTGTAGCAGCTGTATCTGCCCCTGGACCCCTGGAAGTGCCCAAGGCCAGGTTGGATGGGGCTTGGAGCAGCCTGGGACAGTGGAAGGTGTCCCTGCACGTGGCACGGGTGGGATGGGATGAGCTTTGAGGTCCCTTCAATCCAAACCATTCTGGGATCTTGTGATCCCATGGGTACTTATGGCTGGGGTGGCTCCACAGCAGGCTTCTCAGCTGACAAACACCGAGATACAGCTCCAAGCAATTCAAGCAAAACACAGAGCTCCAGGGAGACCTTGGAGCCCCTTCCAGGATCTAAAGGGGCTCCAGGAGAGCTGGAGAGGGACTTGGGACAAGGGATAGGGGGACAGGACACAGGGAATGTCTTCCCATAGCCAGAGGGAGGGATAGATGGGATACTGGGAAGAAATTCCTCCCTGTGAGGGTGGGGAGGTCCTGGAATGGATTTCGCTGGAAGCTGTTGCTGCCCCATCCCTCTAAGTGTCCAAGGCCAGGTTGGATGGGGCTTGGAGCAGCCTGGGATAGTGGGAGGTGTCCCTGCCTGTGGCAGGGGGTGGGATGAGATGATCTCTAACGTCCCTTCCCATCCAAAACTTTCCATGATTCTGAGGTCATGCTTTTTGGGCTGTCTTGGGCCTTTTCACTGATGCAGGAAGAACAGAGTGAAGTAAAACTGGACAGGTCTTTGTGTGGGTGTTGCCTACCTGACCTGGAAGTCCTCCACCACATCCTGCATGGCCTTGAGCTCAGAGCTGAGCTGCAGCCTCTCCTGTCCTAGAGCCTCCAGCTGCCACCTCGTGTTGCTGATGTACAGCTCAAACATGGGCTCCAGGTTATTCTGCACAATTTTCTGACCTTTCAAGAGGCTCCATTTGGTCTCCAGAACTTGGTTTTGTTGCTCCAGGAACTGTACCTGAAAGCCACCACAACAATATAAATAATTCAGGATCCTCAACTCAAAACTTGCCATGCTTTTCATGAAATGGAAGTTTAATATGGCAGGGGTTGTAAATGTTTTCTGTAATTTAAAGCATGATTTGATGGGCATATCACCCAAAGATCATTGCTGGGAAGATCTGGGAGCCAGGAGAAATATTCAGCTGCAAGGAAACCTGGAGAAATCATTTGCTCTGCATCCGGGTTGTCAAAAGTATCTATATGGACAGTCTGGATATGGAACAAAGTCCTGCACAAAATCTTTAACTCTGCTTTAATGATTTAGAATTATATTTCTAATGTTGAGAACTTTCTGACTCCATCTCCAGGTAATGCCAGAGCTGGAGAACATGCCTCACCTTGTTGATGAAGGAGGCAAATTAGTTGTTGAAGGATTTCATTTGGTCCTTGTCCTCCTGCTGCACCTGCTGCACGTTGAGGTCAATCTCCAGATTCAGGGGCACCAAGAGGCACTGGTTGACCATGACCTTTTGTATCCCTCCAGGGCCACATCCAAGCCCTGCTCCTCCAGCTGTGCCTCCTGCCCTGGGCTGTATCCTGGTCTGGCAGCCCTGGGCCCTCCACTCATGGCCATCCTTGAGCTCAGCCCGAGGCTGTGAGGGCTCCTCCTGCTGAAGGCTCCTCAGCCCTTCCTGTGCCTCCAGCAGGGCCATGGGACACGGACACGGAGCTGCGGCTGCTGTGCAGGATGGGCATCATGGAGGAGCAGCACCAACTCCAAGAGACCCAACACTGAAAGAGGACAATGAGGTGAGGTAGCAGAGGAGCAGGAATGCGGAAACCCCTGGGCAGGTGCTGTCAGGGTGACCACCTTCCCGAGAGCGATCCTCTCCGAGTCCCGACGACCAGCTCCCTCAGCCCATGCAGCACTCGAGCCAGATGCGGTAATAAAAGCCTGACCAGACAGACAGGAGGACTCCTCGCTTGGTAGATCCAGCAGGGTTTATTGAAGGAAGGTCTGAAGGTCCAGGTGGGGTAAGGGTGAGGGGAACAGAGAGGAGCACCAAGGCAAAGACCCAAGAACAAGGGAGAGGCCAGGGCATATAACTGGGGGAAGGTAGGAGGAGTTAGGGTACAAACGAGCCAATGGGATTGGGGGAAGAAGGGAGGAGCTGGGATGGGGTGACTCAATGTCAACCAGTGAGGAAGGAGAGGGAAGTGGTTTCTCAGGGAGGACCAATGGGAGAACAGGAGGGGTAGAACTTTCTGGAACCAGGGGAGGAACAGCAACCGATTGACAGAAGCACATTTGCATGGGCAAACAAGGGATCATGGGGAGACTCTCATCCTGATCTCTGCCATGGTGTCTTCCCATGGCATTCTGTCTCTGTCCTCCCCATGGCCACCTCCCACACAGGAATCTTTGGGAGTTGGGATCAGGAGTCTTCTCAGCCTTTTATGCTTTTGGAGAGCTGGGCTTGACCACAGGTCAAGGAGTGAGCTCATGGGTTTGGTATCTAGCACTCAGTCACCCCCACCAGCTCTAATGCCACAGGCTGGCAGAGACAGCTCGTAAAACTTTCCAACCCGTATTTTCTAAGCTGCTTTTCAAAGAGGAGATTACTGGTGGGGCAAAAAAAAAAAATCCATTTCCATCCACAAGTTGCCTTTGGGCTTGGTTTTAGCTTGGTTAAAGTAGTTCCTGTTAATTTAAAGCTGATGAGACTGAAGTTGCTGCAAGAGGGAATCCAGAGATTGGGAAAATGACAATTTGATGTGCTTTGTTAAAGAAAAATCCTGACTCTGCCCCCAGATTTCCAGCCATTGTAGGGTATTACAACCTGTGCTGATCTAGGGAAGAAGTTCCTGTCTTGGTCTGCACTCCTGAGCTTTCCAGGCAGAACTTCATTGCACTGAGGTGCTGCTGGTAAAGGTAGGGATTTGGGAGACACCAGTGCCCTTCTGGGAGCCCAGAATTCTGAAATAAGAATTCTGAAAGTCCAGGGTCCCTGAGAGAAAACAAACTGAGATGTGAAAGTCCTGCTTATGAGTCACAGAATGTCCTGGGCTGGAAGGCACCCACAGGGACTACCGAATCCAACCCCTGGCCCTGCACAGACACCCAAAAATCCCACCCTGTGCCGTAGGGCATTGTCTAAATGCTTCTGGAGCTCTGGCAGCCTTGGGGCTATGGCCATTTCTAGTGGTTTTGCTTCACCAATTTGAGATTTCCTGGCCTATGCACCAATTAATGTGATGGGTCTAGTGCTGGCCACACTCCAGTGCACCCACTAGAATATCCTCACTCATTTCCTGCTGTGAGAGAGGATTAGGAGAAAGGCAAAGCAGGCTCAAAACTTTAAAAGGGTATAAAGAAAGCTTTATTAACAGTAACTAAAAGAAAGAAAACAAGATTCAGAAGAAAATCTTTAAAACACTTTTCCCCCCTAGAACTTTTTCTGTCCTACTAACAATTCAGTCTGTTTATCACTTCTAGAACAGTCTTTCTTCAGTTCACTTAGGGAGAGAAGTTCCTCTTGTTAATGTTGTGGAGACTTTTCCACAAGGAAACAGTTCTCTCATGGCTTTTAATTTCCACAAATAGCAGCCCTCCAGGAATCTGCAATCATGAAGTCCCTCCCATCTTTCACAGCTTTCCCACAGCTGTGTTTATGGGTCATGTCAACTTATGGAGTACTATTTTAAGGATGAGTTGATGAAAAGCAAAGATTTTCTTTATCGATCTTTGAGATTATCTTAATCTCTGAGAACAGAGGTCTTCTTCTTTCCATGGGGCAGAGGGTCTTGATCACTCTTCCCTCTCTACTCAAATTTCTCATGGAATCACAGCTACTTTAACATGTGCTTACTTTAGCATGGAGGCCTTTGTTCATATCTACAATATGAACACTTAATCTCCTCATACTTTTTCAATGAGTTACAGGGAAAAAGAGTCTGATGTATCAATTACATCTTTCTCCATAGCTTTACAAAAGGATTTCAGCCCCAAAATCAAGGCATCTCCTCATCCTTCCCACCTGGGACTTGACTCTTTCTTCACTGACCTTGGTGTCTTCATGTTGTTTCTCTACGTGTTCCCACTCTTCTTTTCTCTCACCTGAGGGAGGATTGATGTCTGTAGGTCTCATCTGTGTACTGAAAGAGTCACTATCTCACTCAGGCCTGCAGATGGCTATGTGATTTCTGCAGGGCAGTGCTGGAACTGTTTACAGTAGAGGATTTATTTGGCGGCCATGCTGGGGGAGGGCCAAGATCTCAGCAGCCAGGCCAGAACACAACAGAAGCACAGTTGTGGGCCGATGGCTTCTCCTGCCCCTGCCCGGGGCTTGCGGGTGAACCCCAAGGGTGGCAGAATCTTGGCCGAGCCGGCCCGGCCCGGGGCTGCTCCTGGGGCCTGGTGGATCCTGGCTCGGCCAGGGCTGGCAGCAGGGCAGAGCTTAGTAGTGCCCACATGTTGACAACTGCAGCCATGGCCCGGCCTTGGCCCTGTGGCCTCCCCTCCCCTGCCCGGTGGTTGCAGGTGAACCTCAATGGCAGCAGAATCTTGGCCGAGCCGGCCCGGCCCAGGGCTGCTCCTGGGGCCCAGCAAACCCGGCTCGGCCTGGGCTGGTGGCGGGGCTGGGATTAGTAGCAGCCAGGTGTTGGCAACTGCAGCCACGGCCCAGCCTTGGGCCCACAGCCTCCCCTCCCCTGCCCAGCAGCCGATGGGGCCTGGGGGGCTCCCTGGGAAGGGTCTCAGCCCCATGGCAGAGCCTGCCCAGCCCAGCCTGGCCAAGATGGGAGCTGGGCTGGGCTTGTCGACCTGCTTTCAGGCCTGAAAAGAGAATTTCCAGGATTTTTCGTTTTCAACATGTGTGTTTACAGAGCTGTGTTCAGCTTTCTAGTGGTTTAACAAAGTGTCAATATTTAGAATGACTCACTGATTCATTTTACTGGGCACAGAGGAAGCTCTCAGCAGCTCCTCTCAGAAAAACTCACTTCCGTGGTGGCTCCAATGATAAAACCAGCACACCATTCCCTGGGGAGTCTCTTCAGTGTCCTGGCACCCTCTGGGGAAGAACCTTTTCTGATATCCAACCTAAACTTCCCTGGCACAGCTCCAGCCATTCCCTGAGTCCTGTCCCTGGTCCCCAGAGCAGAGATCGGAGCTGTGCCTCAGGACGAAGCCGCAGCCCCCGAGGAGTCTCACCCCAGTCTCCTCTTTTCCAAGGTGGACAAACCAACCCTCAGCTGCTCCTTGTGTGGCCCCTGCAAACCCTTCCCCATCCATGTAGCTCTGGATGGAGCTTTGATGCTGGACAGTGCTTAAATAACAAACCAAACTCCAACTCTGCTGCTGCCAGTGGGATGTGGACTCAAGAGGCTGGAGAAAGATGGGCTGGTGCTGAAGACAACAAGACACTTCCTTTTCAGTTCCCCGAGGGTCTTTCACTGTCTCACAACCTCCCCTGGGGACATTATTCCTCCCAAAGAGGGTTACTTTGGGGGTTTAATGGGTGTTTCCCATTTCTAATTATGGTAATGGCAGCGGAGGTGTTTTATCAGTCCCTGGAGATGTGTGTGCAGATCAGATGAGCTGCAGCACTCATTTTCTTGGGAAAATCAGATTTATATGCCTCCATGACTCATCCCATTTGATTACAGAGGTTTGGGCACAAGTACTGTGGCATAAAATGCTGAGATGTCATAATTAGGACTTAAGACAGAAGAACTTTCTCTTGTGCCAAGTAGGAAGGGTACATATCTTCCCATTCTCATGGAAATAGAACATCCAAATGCTTTCTTCCTGTTGGCTATGAGGTCCATGGAGTTGGAGAGGAAGGAGATGTCTCAACTTGCATGTGCCTTTTTTACCTTCAAAGCAGCAAAGTTACTGTGCTGCACCAACGACCCTTTGCCACAAGGTAAGATAAAAGAATTGGAATTTAAAAGAGGATGCGACATAATTAATTCCACATGCCTTTTATTAGACAAACACTGGGAAATTAGGGATGTTGAGGGTGAAAGGACAAACAGGAGCACAGCACCTTTTACATACATAATGACACATGGGTTTGATTTCCAAATCTTTTGAAGGAGCTGGATGAGGACTGGATCCAAGAGAAGCCTCAGTGCTGATGGCACCAGGGCCTGGAGTCAGTTCCTCAATAACATCTCCTGGTGGAGATGGACTTGAAGCTGGAGCTGCTGCCTCCAAGCATGCATGAGCCACCTGTGCCGTATCCACTTCCAGAGATGGAGCCTATTCCCATTCCAGCGCAGACCCCACCTACAGCCCCACCACTGGAGCTCAGGCAGTTGTTGCTTCCATATCCCATTCCTGAACCGGTCACAGCTGCCAGAGGAAAACACCCTCATGAGAGGAATCCACAAGCAGTGGATGAGTAGGACAGGCTCTGAGCAGGGGTGGGAGGTAGATCTCGAAAGTGCTAAATGTCTCTAAAAGTTACTTACAGATGTTCACTGAGCCAGCACCTTCTCCAGAGAGCCTGTCAGGGAGCAAAAGAGAGCCAATGAGACTTCAAAAGGAACCCATGAGCAGGACCTGCTCACAAAGGCAGGAAAATTTCCTTTGAATATTTTTGAAAGGTGGGATGTTTGTATGAAAGGCTGCTGTTGCCAAGCAGCTCCTCTTCACAGGCACTCACTGGTCTTTAAACAGCTTTCAGATCTGAATGTGGGCCTTACCAGGGTCAGCAACTCCATTGCACCTCTGAAAACTGGGATATAAAATCTCACCCACCTGCACTCCTCGCCCTCCAGCAGCTTCCTATAAGTCACGATCTCGATGTCCAGGGCCAGCTTGACATTCATGAGCTCCTGGTATTCCCGGAGCTGCCGGGCCAGGTCAGCCTTGGCTTTCTGCAGGGCTGTCTCCAGTCCCTCCAGTTTGGTCCTGGCGTCCTTGAGGGCCGACTCCCCACGCTGTTCTGCATCAGCAATGGATGTCTGCAACCCAGTGACCTGCAGGGGAAAATCCAGATTTTCATTCCTTATTGAGAGCATAACCCAGCTCTTTGTATCCTGAGGTCCCAATCCCAGATCTGATGTTGGGTTAACATGAATAGGCGTGATCTTAACCATCACTGATCCATGAATTGAATTCAATTCATTTAACTGCTCCATGTTCTGAGCCAGGTCACAGTCTGGATTTACCTCCACAACTCTCAGAATCTCCTTGCGGTGATTGATACTACACTGAGTAACTCTTGGTGATGTCACTGCTCTGATACAAATCCAGTCATGTTCATTCCTGATCCAGCAGAATTTGGTTGAATTTATTTTTATTCCCTGGGCAACTGAGAGGTCAGGTCACAGGAAGGGTTACATTTGATGCACTGGTTGTGCCCTTTACCTGTTTTTTCACACTGTCAATCTCGGATCGGAGCCGCTGCATGTGGCGGTTGAGCTCTGAGATCTCCTGCTTGGTGTTCCGGAGGTCGTCTCCATGCCTGCCAGCCGTGGCCTGCAGCTCCTCGTACTGTCACGAATCTGGTTCTTCTCATCCTTACGGATATTCTGGATATTGGGGTCAAACTTGAGGTTGAGTGGCTTCAGAAGGCTCTGGTTAACTGTGACTTCATGGATGCCCCCAAGTGGGACAGCAGGGAATCCAGGGCCACCACCAATCCCAAACGGACCAGCACCTGCCCCACCAAACCCATAGGAGATCCCATTTCCAGCACCAAAACCTGCAGGTCCGTAGGAGACACCACCTCTTCCAGCTCCGGAGATCCTCTGGCATTCGCCAAGGCTGTAGAGGCTCCTGCTTCCAAACCCTCCAGTGAACCTTCCATAACCAGTGGTGGCCCCGCAGCTGCCAGCTTGTGCTGCAGGGCGCAGGCAGAGGCTGGAGCTGCTGGCATTTGGGAAGAAGGCAGAAGCAGCACTGAAGTTCCTTCTGGCCTGACTCCTCACGGTGCACTGGCGGGACATGGCAGCTGCCAGGGGTGATCCAAGGAATAAAGGAATGAGAGGAAGTGGCTGGAGGTGAAGTGCTCCCCCAGCCTGGGACTGGCCCTTTATATCCTCCTGAGGTGGGGATGGATCCAGTGTGGGGTTTATCCCACTGATTAACTGGGCCTGGCACACCCACAGTGAGTTCACCATGAGCACCCATGGGGCTTTCAAAAAAGGGCAGAGGTTGCATTTTTTTTTGTGTTGAAATAGCTGAGAAAACCTCGATAGTGGGTTCTCAGCTCTTGTTTGCAGCCACCCCTTTCCCACTCCCTCCTTCCACTGTTGAAGGAGATGGTTCTTTGTTGGGTAAGGGCTTGCTCATCTCCAGTCCATGGATGAATCAATCCAGGTTGTGTAAGGTTAATATGGTTGGTTTTGGAACATTGATTCCTGGTGGAGGGTCTGAGATCTGAAGTCTCTGATCATGTGTTGTGGTTCTGAGCAAACTCCAGAGGGGCAACAGCACCTCAGGTCTCAACCTGATGGGAACTCTTCTTCTTGTGCTTAAACTAGAATTCTTTAAAGCACAACTGGTACAGGAGACGGAAAGAGGTGATGGAGGGAGGGCCAGGGTGGTAATGGGCAAGTCTTGGAGCACCCGCCACCAAAAACAGCTGGGGATTGGGAAGGGTGTGGAGGGAATTTTATGAACAGTGTTCTCAGACCTTTTCTTTCTGTGGAAACTGCCCATGTTCTATAGAATCATCAGGGTTAGAAGCGACCTTCAGGATGACCCAGTCCAGCTGCCAGCTCAGCACTACCATGGGCACCCTAAACCATGTCCCCAAATGTGCCAAGTCACCCTGATTTGGACTTATAACAGATGGTGACATATCAGAACCTGCTCCAGAAGGGAGTTTCTGTCATCTGTGATGCCACAAACCCTGACTCTGCAATTTCTCAGGGCTTCACCTGTGAAGACTTTTGATCTGTTTCCTGACTCATGGGATGACTTTGTCTCTACATGGAGCTACCAGGCTGCCCTCCCCACACCTGTTGTTTTTGCCGTCTTACTCACCAGGAAATTCAGTGCTTACAACATTGCTCGCAGACACCTCTCTTCACTCCTACCCCCTGTGGCTTCCAGGAAAAGCCAAACAGGACATTTCCCTGGTGAAGGACACGGCGTCTCAGCTCCAGTACACACAGGATTGTCCTAGAGCAGGCAAGATGCTCCCAAGAATCTCCTGGTGCCTTGGCTGGGTGCCCAGGAGTGGGCATGCTTTTCCCAGCCCCTGCAGCCCCTGGGGTTTGTCAGCCCAAGCTGAGCACCCACTCCTTGGAGGAGATGGCAGCCCTCCCATAGAGCATTTCTGGGAATCCATTGTGGATGTGACAACCTGGTTAGGGAGTGAGAAAACTAACTTAGTTTTTCCAGAATCAGCCTGCAAGACTTCAGAAAGTTGAAGATAAGCAATGATAACTTATTATTATAAATAACCTGCACGTGTTGTTTTCCTACACTCTGTTTTCTTGTTTTTCTCAAAGATTATTTTTAAGGATATCTTGTTAATTAACCAACCAAGTGAAATATATTAATTAAATAACCAATCAAGTTCATATAAATCAGATAAGCAATGATAACTTATTATTATAAATAACTTATTATTATAAATAAGTTGTTTTCCTACTCTCTGTTTTCTTGTTTTTCTCAAAGATTATTTTTAAGGATATCTTGTTAATTAACCAACCAAGTGAAATATATTAATTAAATAACCAATCAAGTTCATATAAATCAAAAGAATTTATAAAAAAAAAAAAAGCAGTCCAAAATAAACAACATGTTGTACCAATCAGCTTTCTGGTGAGCCTGTGTCATTTCTCACTCAACAGCAACAATCCATAGCTTTCTCTAGCCATGTTCAGGCACTGGGACATGCCACAAGTCTTTGCAGGTGCATCTTTCAAGAGCTTGTCCTGGCACACGTGGCAGCTGAACAAAAAAGTGAGTGATAACCAATCAAGTTCATATAAATCAAAAGAACTTATAAAAAAAAAGCAGTCCAAAATAAACAACATGTTATACCAATCAGCTTTCTGGTGAGCCTGTGTCATTTCTCACTCAACAGCAACAATCCATAGCTTTCTCTAGCCATGTTCAGGCACTGGGACATGCCACAAGTCTTTGCAGGTGCATCTTTCAGGAGCTTGTCCTGGCACACGTGGCAGCTGAACAAAAAAGTGAGTGGGACCAGAAGGACTCAGGAGAGAAATGGGCAGTTTCCCACAATCTCTTTTTGCCTTTCAGCCAAGTTTTTTTTTATTTTTAATTCTATTTTTCTCTCTGTTCTTGTAACATTTGCATTACACACCCTGGAATGACAATAACTGTCTTGGGAGTGTTTCAGCTCCTTTGTGTTACAACAAGCAGCTGTTTTTAAGAGAGAGGAGCTCCTGTGACTGAGCCTCAGGCTGTCCTAAAGAACTCTGTAAAATCCTTATGGGCACCAACCTGCAATCAGCTCCCTCCACACACTGCAAATCCAGGCCCCTGAGTGCCAGCACCATCCATGTCATTATGACTAAGTCTTTAATCTGGGCTGGGCTGGAATTAATGGGGATCATCTTTTCCTGCTGGAATACCAGCCCCAGGTGATGGCTGCAATCTTTTGGGATGCAGGAGGTGACAGCCTGGAGATCAGGGCCCTGCTCTTCAGCAAGGGCAACTGTAGGTTGGTTGAGTATCCAGAAGTGTGATGCCCTGGAAGAACAAATATCTGGCCCTGGTATTTCCTGGGCTGGATGACAGGCTTTGAACTGTCTGTGCTGTGACCCAGGTGTGGATGCAGTGGGCAACACCTCCTGATGTCCCTGTTGGACATGGGAGAAGTGTTGGTGTCACAAGCGATGGAAACTCCCTCCTGGGACAGATTCTGATGTTTCTTGATCAGGGTGATTTGGCACATTTGGGTGTAGGTTGATCATGGTAGTGCTAGGCTGGCGGCTGGACTGGGTCATCCTGAAGGTCTCTTCCAACCCTGATGATTCTGTGGAATGTGGACAGTTTTCACAGAAAGAAAAGGTCTGAGAACACTGTTCATAAAATTCCCTCCACATCCTTCCCACTCCCCAGATATTTTTGGTGGCGGGTGCTCCAAGACTCCTGTCAATGCCCCATGTAGTGACCCCTCACAATATGAGGGGTTGGAGTGTGTCCAGGATGGGAATGGAACTGGGGCTGGAGCACCAGGGAAGGGTCTGGAGAACTCCTGAGAGACCTGGGGAGCTCAGCCTGGAGAAAAGAGGCTCAGGGGAATTCCCTGACAGGAGGGGGCAGCCAGAGGACAGTCAGGCTCTGCTCCAAGGGAACAACAGGAGAAGAGGAAGCAGCCTCAGACTGTGCCAGGGGAGGTTGAAGTTGGACATCAGGGGAATTTCTCCGTGGCCATTGGCAGGGGCTGCCCAGGGAGGTTTGGAGTCCCCATCCTGGAGGTGTCCAAGGAAGGACTGGATCTGGCACTTGGTGCTGTGGGCTGGGTTACAAGGTGGGGATTGCACAGGTTGGATTCCATGATGTGGGAGGGTTTTTCCAACCTCAGGGATTCTGGGATTATACAGTCCCATATCCTTGTGGTTAGGGAGGGTGTGTTTGAGCAGCAGAAGGAAGGCCATTGGGTGACCTGGCCCAGGCTGCTGTTCTGAGGGAGAGAGGATATTGTTCCTTCCCTGGAGGCTGCTGAGAGAGGTGGTGGAGCAGGAGTGGGGACCCACAGCAGATCCACAACCAAGCCTGCAAGATTTCAGGAAGGAAATTTCCTCAGGGATGCTCAAGGCATCCTAGAAAAAACTGTGGGAAACTACTGGTCCTGAAGGAAACCCTGAATTCAGTCTGTCTTCCCAGCACTCCCAGTTCCCTTCTATCTCCCCAAATCCATGAGGATTTTCTTAAGAGGGCCCCTCTACTCATTACTTGAACCTATTGAAATCCGGGGAGTGAGGGCTGGCCTGTTTTTTCCAGTCACTTGTTCATTCAAGTGGCCTTCCATAAGTGAGATCTGTCACTGCAGATGTTTCTCTGCTTTTACTTCTCCATTAATTTCTCCCAATTAGTCAGAACCACATCTGAAAGCCCTACACCTCCTTTGGTTTTTCTTCCACCTTCTCCAAACAAGACCTTGTCTCCAACATATCCTAAGAACATGAAGAAACACTGGATCTTGAAGACTTTCACTTTTCAACAGTGAAACAAACCCCTTTCTTGGGTTTTTTAATAGCTACTGGATTTGTGACATTTAATTCAGTGTAGGGCCAAATCTGGTTCATAATTCTTACTGACCAGAGTATGGACCTGATCCTGCCCCTCTGTGTAGTTAGAGGGGAGGGAACATGAGCACCAGGGAGGGCTCTCAGCCTGCTCAGGCACATGTTTGCACTGCTGGCTCCAAGGCGTGGGTGACACCAGGGGTTTGGGATGGATGAATCACCTGAACAGGCCAGGGGGTTGCTCTGGCTCCGCTGGGAGTTAATTCCCTCTTGTTTGAGGTTTGTGCAAGTACATCACACACCTGGCACTGGGATCCCACCCCCAGGATCCAGGCCCTTGGATGCTCGATGGGCTGGGAGCTGAAAGTAAATGAAGCTCAGACCTTTTCCCCTATGCCTGACTCCTGCCTTGGCGTGTCCTGGTGTTTGGCTTCCAGGTGTTTTCCCTGCACAGTGGGGAGGGAATGTCGAAATCAACACCAAACCTCCCTCTGAGGTTCTGCTGGGCTGGGGTGTTCTGGCTGCTGACAGTGAAATTCAGTAAATCTGAGTGAGGAGCAAAAATCTGAGCCTTTAACTGGTCAGGGCCTGAGGGAAAGTTCTTGTTACCTGTGTTTGCATTTGCTCTTGCACCTCTTTAATTAAAAGGACTACAAAATAGAATAAATTACATGTGCATTTTTATTAGACAAACTCCAGAAAGTGAAGAGAGACGAACAGTCACGGGACACATTTTATATACAAAATCCGGCCAAAAAATTGCTGAGCTGGAG